TAATTGATATACCTTCGTCATGTGAGAGTGAGAATCGAGTTCTCTTCTCTTGCGTTTCGATACGTTCGACATTGCTATTTTCTTGTCTAGGATGTTCATTAGAGGCGTCATCAGGGAGATTTAAAGTAACAGGTCCATTCTCCATACCACTTTGGAGTTCCATGCATAGAACCTATAAATAATGAAATAAAATATTTCATTTGATAACTTTAATCATTAATTCTAAATTTATTACTTCCTTAAACTTTTATTAAATAGACATTAAAAAACTGATTATTTATATTACTATTAATTATGCTATAATTTTATAAATTTATAAAATAAATTACAAATTCATAAAATTATATAAATTTATAAACATATTTTTTGAAAATTAAGTAGCATATAATTTTGTATAAGCTACATACATACAAGATGTAACTTCTTATTAAATACATAAAGAATAACAAGCAATAAAATATGTGATAAATCTATTAATATTGATACATGTACATACTTTCTGTTCACTGAGTAGCCCTACGGATTCTCCAATTGTTGGACCAAAAGGTATGACTAGCACATCGTGAGAATTTTTATCTACAGTTTCCTCTTCAGGAACTGCAGTGCCATTAATTTCTTCTCCACTTTCGTTTGTTACATTTGGTGAGAATGTAGTCATCCTTATACTACGTCCTTTTCCTATTATAAAATATTTTAACGTTATACTATTATGACAATTAAAACATATACACAATCATTATTATATTATTTAGGTAATATACCTTTCCCTGCAGCAACACCTCGTTTACTAGGTGTTTCCAAATATTCCTTACTTAGTTTATTATTATGCAGTAAACCCGAAGGTAATTGCGACAGCATTTCTGCTAATTGTTTTCTATCAAATGAATTATGCAATATTGTTTCTCCATTGTTATCACCAACAATCGTGTTCAAAAATGTAATTAAGGAATTCAGTTCGCTTTCCGTAAACAATGCTGCGGATCGTGACAAGCCTTGAAATTTATTATTGTCAATTATCATTGGTTCCTCTTCCAACTCTTCTGTCGCACCATCCAACATAGAATCTATTATGGAAGACACTGAATCTTTCTCAAACTTTTTGTAAAGATCAATAACTTTGTTATCGATACTTTGATACTTTTGTAGCGAAAGCATTTGTAAAATTTGTCCAACTTGCATTAGATTGAACCTTGCAACATAACTTATCGGTGCATCGGTAATACCGTAAGGCTCAGGATTAACTATAGCAGGACAAATAAAGTATGTAAATACAAGATCAGTGCACATGGCATGCACTTCTTTTGGATCTACATTTCCATTTTTACTAAGAAGCCCTGCCATTTGCCTTACAAGCCAGCAAACACTCGTAGGAAAACAATGTATTGTTTCACGAATATTGATGATAAATCTCTGCGTAATACGATGCAAAGAATTAACTGTCCACAGTCTATAACGCTGTAACTTCGCTTGATATTCGGCCGTGCCTTCCTTCCCGAATTTTTTCAATCTTTCTGCAGGTGGAAATCTAATAGGCGCTTTATCCGGATCAATGTCCAAGAACATTTCATCTTCCATAAGTAACTGCACTATAGGGTTATGCAAAGCTGCTGTCAAGAAAAGCTTTGCGGAGAACAGGCTTTCATGAAAGATTGAGTAAAATCTGGAAAACGCGCACGTTCCATGCCTAAGCAATCTTCGTGGGTTGTCAGATGGAATTATTTGCAGCAACATAAGATGCCTCAGTAGCTGAAGGACTAAACTTTTATCCTCTGGCAATATGCAGCTACCGTATAATCCAGCAGCTAAGCACTGTACAATTGTCTGCATCGATTCTGGAATGGTTTTGTCCCCTTCGACCAAACACGAAGCGAGGAGCTTGGGTGACTTTCGTAGTGCACCTAAAAATTCTCCGTAGGACAAACACGCTTGGTAGCGCAGGTACTTGTACGCATCGATAAAATGTGAATTTTCCAATGCGTTTGCTCTTAGGCAACATGACGCTGGAGTACAATCTGGCCTTGCTACTATCAGGCGATTCAGATTGACTCTTTGCTGAGCAGTTATCCATGCTTGCTGCGCTAACTGCGACGAGACATGCATGACCTAGACACAACAGTCTTATTAAGATTCCTATTAAATTAATATTTATAGATCTTTATTATAGATTTTTATTTATAGATCTTTTATGTCCTGAGTTAATTTTCATTACTTTTACAAGTATACAAAAATTATTAGTATTAAATTATTAGTATAAAATTATTAGTAAGTATTAAAAGTATTAAAAATTATTATTATATTTATTATTCTTACATATACTCCACTTTTACAAAGTATTTGTATAGTTGTATATTTTTAAAAAATGAAAAGATAGCGTTCATTATTTAACTAAAGCTCCTATTTCAAAGAAAAAAAATAAACACAGGAATGACCCTATTGTATGTATTAAAGGTTATATATCAAATGTTACCATCAATAGAATACATTCTTTCATACATATGATGTATCATTGTGTCTTTTTGGTAAACAAGGATAAAAAAAAATCATGCACATCATATTTAAAGCAGAACACACTCCTAAGTTGAGTTCTGTTATTCACTGTAAATACTGAAAATCTACAAGTTATATACAGATTTTCAGTACTTGCAATTAATAATAATTGAAGAGCCATAGATTGTTATATATAATCCATGTTACTTACTCGTTCGTTAAGAGTCTGCAAGTTCTGCTGTTCTGAATTAACAAATAGTCTTTCCTGTCGCAAATGACGAGCCAATTCCATCATATCCCACTGTAATGTCCCGTGGGAATCAATACTATTAATCGATGACATTATTGGACGTACCTTTAATGTGAAAAACAGCTATAGAATGTAAACTATTTCGGAATTTAATTATACAAGGAAGTATAATTTCCATATAGTTACTTGCGTACAATCCTATTAGTCGGTTATCCTGTACATTAATAAGTCGAGATGGGGCGTTCGCAGGCTTACTTTATGAAGAACCTCAGCAACAAGATTTTTGAGCGCATATGCTGTCTCTCAGAGTCACGAGGATCGCGCGTCAAGTGCATACAAGTATGAGAGAGAGGAAGCGTTGTTCACCTGATGAAGTAAATAAAGATCTCAATTCGGGACAGAATACAACGATAGAGCTCAGATTGCATAACGCGTTGGCAAATATGCGAGTGTTCGCGATGATATCATGGGAATGAAGCTCAAGGTGAAACGTAGCGATCATCCGCGTCACGTATTGAAACGTTACAGAGAAACGCTGTCGAGCATGAGACGGGTGTTACGCGTGCTTCCAAACCCCCGGCGAGATTATTGTCGTTACTGTCGCGTGAGCATCGGTTCTACCGTGGAAAATAATCGTTGCGTAAGTTGCGTTTGCCTTGCCTTACGAATGTCTCCTTTTGATCGCGCGTGCACTGTGTCCGTCTCCCGATTTCACACGCGCGTACTCACGCGCGCAACAATAGCTCTCCGTATCTCTCCACAAGAAACGCTCGGACACTTACACGTCGTCGGGAACGACGATCGCACAATTCGTTGTTGTCGCACGCGGGTCAGAGCAACACCCCCAATACTCCCAATGACACACGCACATCTTCTGATCTGATTATAGGTTAGATTTTTTCTTCCACAAATAAAGTCACTAGATTTGTAAAGGTGCCTTTTCATGTGCTCTGTTCGCGTTGCATGAAATCCCCAAATATTTTTGCACTTAAAATGAGATAGATACATATTTTGCCTTGAAAAGAGAGAAAGCGAAGATATTTGATCGAGTACCAAAAGTGCAAGCAACACGAACAAGACATACTGTACTAACTCTTGACGCTCATTTTTAGCATCATAATAATCATGTGATCGAAATCGATGCTCGATATTCGTCAATTTTTATCATGTGATTTGTTTATAACGCTAAAAATAAGCGTCGAGCATCAGCATAAAAAGGCACCTTAAGTACTGCAAACTCGCCGCCATTTTGTGATAAAGATCAGGTCATTTTATTATTTCTTCATGTTTCTTAAATTTAAACACGGCACAATAAATACCGATAAATGTATCGGAATTTTTGCATAAATTAGGAGTTCTGCAACTCTTAACGCAAGTTTTGTTATCGTTATAATCCCACTGCACAATTTTTTATCATAGTAAAGAGCTGCGCAGCGGCATTATAATGATAACAAAATTTTCATTAAGAGTTACAGACCCAGCAAACAAGAATGGATTAAAATGGATTAAAATTTTTTTCTATACAAATGCATATTTTAAATAGCGAATATTTTTTTTTGGATTTAATTGAATCCAAAAAATAATATTCGCTATATTTGACTTTGAGAAAAGACTGATTGGATGTAATAAATTGACGCTACAGACTATAATGTATAATATAATATGTATAATATGATATAATGTATAATATAATATACGTGTCTGTGCAGTAAATGAAATATGTCTACAATATGTAGAATTAAAATATTAATCGGGTTCAAAATTAAAAACTATAATAAAGTATATCGGGCAATGAGAGCATTAATATAGCGCGGAAATTGGTGTGCAAATAAAATATAATTATCCATTAATAATATAAGAAAGTAGGGATGTGTTCATTCTCAGTCTCACATAGAGTTTAATTTCAGCATCATCGAAATATTTTTGTCAAGATATCTACGATGAGTATCTATGAAATTGCTTGAAGATGGTTTGAAGAAAACCGAAATGTTCAAATAAGATCGTACTGACAACAATTGTACTTTTATATATTATACCTATAATACTTTCGTTAGATACGTACTTCATTTCCTTATTAAATTTTCAAATCATATCTACAAAATGAAGATGTTTATCATATAATAACTATTTTAATAACTAATATAAGAGAAACAAGTCGTATAAATATATAATAAATATAGTGTCAAAATTTTTATAACATTGATAAAACATTTGTGCATGATATACGTGTATATCAGTAAACTGGAATGTTAAATAATCTTTCAACAAACAGCTTTACACATTTCGCAGACGACACATCATTTATCGGCGACAAAAAAAAAAGAGTTACATTCAATAACAGATATTATTGGATCGTAACGAAAAGAGCTGTCGAAATTATGTAACAATTTTGAATCAAACAAGATCGAAATAATGATCAGTGTCAGTAGTAAGCATGAAAAATAGAAGACAAAATAGAAATGCAAAAACACTATGTGGTCACTATTATACAGCAGATTATCTCACGAACAATAGACACATTTTTTATTTTAATACATATTTTGTTTCTGTATATATCACAGTGTCTTTATCTTTATATTATCTTATAATATATCTGAAGCATGTAGAAAATCAATCTAACTAAGTTACTTGAGGTCTATTCAACCATGCCATCTTTCACGTATATCTGTTAGCTAACTTTGTACCAAATATGAATATTCTACATTTGAAAAAATATTATGAGCATTTCTCTATGTACAAATTTTCACGTTTATGCTTTATTAAATTAGATAAATATTTATTAATATTTATAATTTATAAATATATATATACAAAATCAAAATTTACATACCTAAGTATTTATCTATTTAACGAAATATTTATCAATTTAACTATACATACTGCGATCGTCATTTTAAATTTCTGACATGTCAGAAATTATATTCCAAATTCCAGTTTTTTTATAACAAGCCACTGTAATTTTTCTGAATGGACTATAAATTTTTAAAATTAGAATATGACGCTTTATAAAATTCTACTCATATAGAAGCAATACATCCATAGCTTGTATTTTCTGAATTCTGCGCATTAATATCAAGTGGAAACCCTATTTTAATATTCAATAAGGTTAATATGTTGCAATCAATTAATAATAATATTTAACTTACTTATATGTTTACATTCTATTCTGCATTTTTGATTTATTTTTTTTTAAATAACGTAGTTTCTATTTTAAATTTGTAAAATAGCAAATAAAATTACTTTTAAAAATAGTTTTTATTCTTTATTTCTTCATTTTTGTTACAGTTACACAATATAATTTTCTACATGCACTATAGATATTTCAACATAAATTGACGTTATTTATCATTATTTTTACGTTAAAGACATATAAGGGAGTTTTTGCAATAAACGTGGATCCAGATACAGTGAATGCTAAAGTTATGTTATTCTTTTTTTAATTAGTTATTAAGGAGAAGATAATGTGACTTTAGCATTCACTGTATCTAGATAAACGGTACTGCAAAAACTCTCTATTGTCACAATGATGATAATTGGGACGTTTGGGAAGAAGCTATTAGAACTATTGGTATTATTCTACTTTCATAGTTCATTAGACGTAAAACAAGGATAGAATGACACAAAAAGCGTTAATAGCGTCTTTCCGAACGCACTTTGTAACTTTGAAATTTAATTAACAATCTTAATTCTCTATCGTTGATACACAAAAGAGGACAAGAATATTTGATTTGCCTTATAAAAGCAATTTTTCTTGCCTTATAGAAGCTTCTCTCTAAAGTAATTAAATAAGAAATATTAATCAATAAAATATTAATAAATAAATATACATGATTTGACATCTTATAACATATAACAATACATAAAAGCAATAAAAAATATATTTTATCTTTCAAAGTAATCCCCCATAGCATTAATACACTTCATACATCTTTATTGTAAAGCTTCAAAATTTTTGTTAAAGTCCGTAGTTGAAATGCTATTCAAAGCACTCGTCATACTTTTCTGAATGTTCTCGACGTTTTGAAAATGTTTATCTTTCATAACGTTTTTGAGCTTTAGAAACTGTTTTATTTTATTTTTTTATTTCCATTTTAGTCATATTATATCTTTGTAATATTTAAAAAATATAGCTTTTTAATGTAAATAATAATTGATTCTCTGTTACTAGATGGAAGATAGAAATAGTGAACAGTTCTCCAATATTACCGTCGATTCAACCATTCAAAATAATGCCAGCGAGATCGATTTCGATAAGATACCTGTACCTTCAATAACATCAATCGTCACCAATGAGGCATACACTCCATCATTAATATCAACGCGAACTATCTCCGACATCGAGCATCGTTATCAATTAGTTGGCAATATCAATATTATCAATCAAATGTAAGCATTATTTATTCATAATTATTATTTTTATATATCATAACTTCAAAATGTCTAAATTTTCTCTTAAAATAGAAGAAAATCATTTACACTCTCTTGATTTACATGAATATTTTGTATAAATGTACATAAATGTACAGTCATTTTTTTAGATATATTTATTAAGAAATAACATCTTTAATTGATGATTTTTTTTACAAAGAATCTTTATTTATTTATAAAGTCAAAATTAATTGAATCAATTTATGACTTATTTTTGTTTTGTATTTCTTATTATACATGAATTCTTATTATACATTTTTTATTATACATTGTTTGATAAATTCAATTTTTTTGTGAAGAAAAATGTCGAAAAAAGTAAAAATGCCAAATATTAATATGCCAATAAATAATAGTTCATAGCTAATGTTTTTTAAATTAAGAATAATCTTTCATAATTTAAACGCTTTAGAGACGTAAATGAATATGTAATCCTTTATCTAATTTTGAACAGATTTATGTTAAACAACTATATTTATTCGAAATAAGTTGCAAAGTGAACAGTTTGCAGGGAAGTTAATCAAGACGTGCTTTGCATCTGCTATACGGAAACTTACGACTTTTTGGCGGCAGGACTGTCGGATGGGAATGTAAAATTCTACAAAGTTGGCTCGGGAGAGAATACGTTGATCCTGTGCGATGCGGAAATGATGCTGAATCCGGCTCCAGTGACCGCTATAAAGCACCGACCAGTACGAGGAACACATCCGATCACTCATACAGTAATAGCAACTTGTTAGTATCGCATACATCTTTCACTTCTTATTTTAATTACTATGTAATAAATTTAATTATTATTTATTAAATCTTTATATAATCTGGAAATTATTTAAGCTCACTTTCGAAAAAATTTTGTTAAAATCAACAGATATTGTCAATTTTTATATTTTGGATTTATTGCATAATTAGAAATAATTAAGATTTTAAAAACAATTTTATATGAGAGAGAGAGAGAGAGAGAGAAAGAGAGAGAGAGAGAGAGATAATATTGATGTAATGTTAATTATATGATACATAGTGTAATACAAGATACAATTTTTTTATTTTACATTTTTAAAGATAGAATAATAAAGAGAGAAAATGAGCAAAGCAAAATAATAAAAACAGATTTTCTTTTAAATTCGCTTTTAATAATGAATAAATAATAAATATTAATTTATCTTAAAAATACTAATCTAACTTTAAGTGTATTAAAAAATATATTAACATCGTAAATTTTTTTTTTTTGCCTTTTACGATGATGCTTATATAAAGCTTTATAAAATTACATAAAATAAGTGTTAATTTAAAAATTAATATTGATGGTAGCATAGTAAGCTATAAATAATATAACGTTTAAACAATTTAATTCAAAGATTAAAATTATAATTGAAAGTTTTACATTCGTTAAAAAAATAAAGTTTTACGTTAATGTTATTCATATAGATGCCAATGGCTGCGTTAAATGCT